GCTGTGGAGAGCCCTGTGCGGAGCCTCCACATCAGCATGCCCGTCGTCACATTCCCGCGAGCGAGCTGTTTGCATGGCTACATCAAGCCCGATCGACGTTTCAAATCAAAAGGAGAAAGGGCATCCATGGGCATGCAACCGAAGACCAAGAATACCTGCTTCTTGGTTTGCGGAATGTGACCAGGGAAATGCCGAAGGGATGAGGGCAAAAAAGTGCGTGGCCGTGCAATGAGACACATGACACCGTGGAGAAGCTCTTTTGGTCTAGTCCAGCATTTCCTGGTAGAGAAAGCCTCAAGTTGGGCGAGTATTGCTAGTCGTCGTGATAGAATAGCAACGGCAGGAGTGGTGTAGTTCATAGTTGATATAGTTTAGTTGTTCTGACGTAATTGCTGCAGGACAGCATGGCCGAGTTCTCCGAGCAGGAGTCAAGATTGGAGCGGGAACTGATGGTACCAAGACTATCCGACTGGGCAGGATTCATAGGTTCTTCGGGCTCAGGATCTCCGGCCCACGAAGTGGGCGGGCGTATGTGCCCATGGCAGAGTTATGACAGCTCAGACTGACCCGTCATCCTTCCGCGGCAGCAGATTGCAAAACTGTAGAAGCTATGATTGGTGTTGAAACTTTATAAAGTCGGCTTGGGAACAAGATGTAGTCATTCTTGTTTGACCTGCTCCTCCTGAGAGGCCCCTTTGCTCGTGAGGGCAGCAGATAAAGTCCCTGATAGAGGCATGCGAGATCATGCGACTCGAAGAAACATGCTTACGGCAGACTCAGAGCGTCGGAACGCTACATACCTGACCCGTCTGTGCAGCCAGGAGAGGCCTGTGCCCCAGTTCGCCATCTATGGCCCGAGGCTGACACCCTTGGCTGAGGCAGCCTGAGGGGTTGTTTACATAGCATAGATGGGGAATAGTTAAGACATGCATGATTTGCTATGATGATTCTTCTGTGAAGTGTAACGTGTCCAGTACCTTTGCCGCCCTACACGAAGGCCGACACCCCTAAGCTGCTGTCTCTTGAGCTATAATCATAATCGTTAATCACGGATGCGAAGCCGAAGCCGCGCATTTCAGTATGGGGACAGCTCTTGCGTCTTAGGCCTTGGAATGGCCTTTGGCACGCCACATTCCTTGGACTAGTAGAGGGCCTCGAGGCAGGCGTTGTGCATTTTCCCGAGTGCAGGTTCTGCGCTGCACCTGGGCCAGAGGTCCTGCTGGACAGCCGTCGGGGACTTGACTCAGAAGCAGACGTTTCACGTTTAGATGTACCAGTGCCAACCTTTGTGCAGCGTCAACAGCGTGGACATGCACTCCGTCGGTCACAGCCCAGGCTTGATCTTCATGCACGACAGATTATAATTCATGATGGAAAGCTGCACATGCTTGCGTAGCACATGCGGGGACGCGCAGTGCAGGGGCTACAACTGCTGTAATGCTGTTAACCGGTCAGCTCGCAAGTACCCCGCATCCGCATGGCGAGGTCCACAAGGGTGCCTGTGAAAGGCGATGAGCAGCCTGTGCCCAAGGGCCCGGTGAGGCCCCCGGTGCAGAAACCGCGGTTCGCTTGCGCATGGAGATGAGTCAGCCGTCATCCGGCTGAGGTCAACATGCTACGCACCGAGATTGTTTGCTGCCGGCTTAGTTTGTCTAAGTGGACGGGCCGCAGGCCCTGGATAGGAAGAGGGATGCACCCGAGAACTGAGAGCTTCGTCATCTCATCCCTGTAGTCCGGAAATGAGACCAGTGCTCTGTGCTTTGCGCCAATCCAACATGAGGCAAGAATGTTGAGTCCCTTCTCGCGGCCTTCGACGTCCTCACAGACTCTCACGAGGAGGCAAGACGGGAGGGCAAGCAGCCACCCGGTTTTCATTCTTTACGATCAGTATACACTGAGCGGCATTAGAATCGACCCTGAGACCCGCAAAAATAGGGGCCTTCGTGATCCTTCGTGGCGGGTCTCCGAGATATAACAAAGTAGGAAACGATTTGGCGAGTAGACACGGTCCTCACACCGGGCCCGGTTTGTGGTGTTGTCCAATGCTGTCGGATGATTTCCTCTATTGATTAGCTGCGCTGTTCTTTCGCTGACTTGGATCGCTCACACGTTTTTCTCATCATGATCTTTGGGATGCCACAACATGTCACTGCAGGAGCACTTGACAGCCAAAGAGGAGTCGTCGCTGCAAGAGCTCCTCGACACTGAACGAGCTTTGAAAGATCGCTGGCCCGCAGTTTGCTTTCGTCCCTCTCCTTTGTGCACGATCTCGGCAAACGGCATAGCAGTGTGACTTTTGCTCTATGCCAAGTTGCAGTTGTTCCAATCTCGAAAGACGGACGGATGAACCGGAGGCAGACTGAGCTGTAGGGAGACACGCAGGTTCGGACGGACGACGAAGACGGAGAGAGAAAGGCCGCAAGAGCGGCAGGCAACAGAAAAACACAGAGAGAACGAGAGACGTGCACACGCACACGCGCAAAAGCAAGTTAGGCAGAGCCGCATCAAGCAGAAAAAGAAGAGACTCGACACACGCTGCTGGACATACAGCGAAGATGAGCTGTGCTAAACTATAAAAGATATAATTAGCCTTGCATTTTCGAAGGCTTCACTCTCAGCCCAGGTTGAGTTTCGAGGAAGTGACCAGTGAGGCTGATGTTGATTTGGAGGCATCTTCTGGGCTGGCCACTGCCGAATTAATTGGTCGATGTTGCAGAGATTAGGTTCATGGCTTGCAAGCGACTCACGATTGTTTGTTCAGGTGCTCTTGCACTCGCAATCTATTACAGGTAGTAGCTTCGTTTGTTTGTTTGTTTGTGGCTCCTGCCGTGCATGTCAGTGTGACGTGCTGTTGTGTCTTCGGATTCTCGGCATGGCACAGGAGCTGAGCGACAATGAAGAGGCTGGCTAGCAGAGTGTGCTGACCGCCAGAGCAATCCACGGTGCTTCCGCACTTCCACGTGCGAGAGCCCGTGTTTACTTGCATCCCAGTAGCACTTCGACTGCAATCCGTTCGAAGTCCTTGCAGATTTCAACCCCTGCAGAGAAGCAGGTTAACCTGAGTGATTGTTAACTGTGGCGGCAGGCAGATGATGAGGAGGCAGAGGAAGTTAAGTCTGCTGCCCCCGAGTCTGCAGAAGTCTCAGAGAAGCAGAGAATCACAAACTCGTAAGTCTCACATGCATTGATATGCATCTCAGGGCATATCATGTCGGCTGGAACTCGTGAGGGGGCTTGCATTTCGTAGCCCGCCCTGCTGAGCCGACCAGCGTTCTACAAGTAGCACGGGCGGGCGAAAGGCACAAGGTGGCTTGGGGATCGCTGGCGGGGTCGAGGCTTGGTCTTTGAGAACTCCTTGGTCTATATTGACTATCATTGGAGGAGAACCATTGCAAAAGCACTTTTCGCGAATCTTCTGAGAAACCCTAACATCCCCGGAAGCTATCATGTGCAACGGAGTTGCTCCTAAGGGTCTCAACAGGGATGCTAGTTTCGGACAACTTCCGACCTGCGCCGAGGTCTCCATGGCTCGAGAATCCTCCGAGCCGACCCTGTTCGACCGCGCAGAGCTCCATGTCCAGCGCACGGGTCTCAGCAGTCTGCTACTAGTAAAACAAAAGACATATCATGGTCAAGCCTGCTCAAGCTAGTCTTTTATCCAGGTTTCAGGTTGCACTGAAGGAGAAGATGGTGCCAGCCTATTCAGGCTTTGTACTGTAGCGTGAGCAGCTAGAGCCTAGAGTCGCTCACCCATCCCACGTGACAGGAGTGTGCGGGATGCGAATCTGACAGTCTGTGTTTCCTCCAGGCAATGTCACGGACAGATGTAACACTAGCAAGCAAGCGTGCAGCTGGATAGCCCAAGCGGGTGTGAAGTTACCAGCATACATAACAGACATAACAAGTCCCTTCCAAGGCCGGGCTCCGCTGGGTGTCCCTGCAAAGCTTCGCCTGGCAAGAGCCCTGGCTCCGATGTGCCAAAACTGTCTGGTGGAGTCGTGGAGTTGAGTTTACGGCTTGCATGGCGGCTTGGAGTGATGTTTAGAAAGGCCAGCGGGCCGCCTGTGAACACTTGCACTTGAGGTGAAGGTCTTTAACGGCTTTCACAAGGACAATGCGGATAAGATCCTTCCGCAGGCCACGTCCCAACGTCAATTTCACCTACAGATAAACGTAGCAGTTCCTACAGTCGACTGCAGCAAAGTTAGAGGATCAGTAGACCTTGGACCTCAGTTACTACAAGCTGCATATCCATTCCAACAGACCCCTGTGAGTCCCTCGAGTTTCTACCTTGTCTGGTATGTGGTCCCGAGTTATTGCAAAACCCGACGTCTTCAAGCCTAAGAACAGAGAGGAGGAACTTTCGACATCCTCGGAGTGGTCGTGGCAATTTCAACAATATGTTCGTGTGATTTGCCCGAGCATGCATACGCTGCTTGAGAGTGTGGAGTCCGATTTTGACGACCCAAACGTTCACTCAGAGATGTCAGCAAAAAGCTGTTGAGCAACATACTTCCGAGCGCGAGCCACGTCTACGCAGTATCGCAACAGGCTAAGTTTAAACGCTTCGCGTCGCCCGCCTCAGCCCGGCTGCACACGTACAGTGCGCGCCGAATTGGTTGGAGGTGTTTGTCAAAGGTTAGCATCCGGAGCCTGCATCGCTATACATCGTGAAAAGTTGCCTTGTTGAAGCGAAGTCTTGAGCCGAGATCTTGCAGGCGCCAAAACCCAGCAGTCTGCAGTGTACAGGGGATTGCTTCTGCGCAAGTCCTCCATAGAAGTGCGGTACTTTGTAACTTTCAGTATCTTTGGCCTAGGCTCAAACCCTAACCTTATCTTCTCGTCGTGAGTAGCTGGAGAGGCCCAGAAAGCACGCAAACGTGAAAGGGGGCGGGGGGGTGGGCATCCGTACGTTTACTTCCTGTGATTTCTGGACAGCAACCGCAAGAACTAGCTTTCTTACAGTCTTGTACGCAAAACAAGCAGTGATTTGCACGCCCATGGCCGAAATGTTCATTCTTGTGCGCTCCTTTTCGTTGCCCTGTTGTCGCCCTGGAGACTGCTGGCATCCTGCTGCTGATGTACGCTTCCTCACGGAAGAGCAAGACGTCGCACAAGGGCCATGGAGAGAAGGCCTGCGGGAGGATATACTGGACCTTAGCGTGAGACGGTTTGCGAACGTCCTTTCGAAAGATCTCCGGCCGAGCTTTGTTGGTCTTCTCAAACAGGAGAAGGACTCCGTCGACCCACTGGTGGACAGCACCGACTTGATCCAGCAGCTGGTCGAGGACGGCATTGGCTAATTGTATTTGCTGTAGCCTCCGTAGTTGTTCTGGGCTGCAGCTTAATCCTTATCAACATGAAACTGCCCGAACATGAACATTGAAAGCTCCCGAAGCCTTGAAGCACAGTGGCAGCACGCCCAAGTCCGCTTGAAGAGGTCGAGCTTCTTCTGGACTCCACTTCCGAAGCTCGGTGGCTGGCGAACCTGGGCTACACCAGACTCCGGCTGGATTTAGGATGCTTCGTCGGATCGTTGTGGAAGGGATGCAGGGTTGTCTCTTCCGTCGGTTTTTATTGCTGGGCAGGCCGCAATGGCGCCGTTCTGGACAGGACTTGGTAAGGGAACGACATTGAGCCGAAAACTGGCAGGAAACCCAATGCTAAAGGTATGGGATTGACATCCTGTTTCAACACGGACGCCGTTGTTTGAGGGGCCATGAAGGACCGAGCGCATGAGGTGATTCCCCAGAAGCGGCTTCATGAAGATCCAGCAAAGAATGAAAAAGAGCACACTTCGGGAAGCAACTCTGCGGACAAGTGTCAAAGGAACCTCTCGCAGGATGACTCAAGCCGCCGGATGCCTTAATGAAATGCCGTTCTTAATTCGCAGATCATGTTTTGTGCTTTTTCCGGTGAAATTCGCCGTGCGCTGTCTTCTTCATGTTGCTTGCTGCTAATGGTCAATCTTCACTGAGGATAACAAGGAGGTGCGAGGCTGGATTTGAAAGCGGTTTGTGGCCTTTTATAAGGATGTTGATGGGCCTCGGCTGGATTTTGAAGGGGTTTGCAGCCTACTGGGGCCTTTCTACTGTGTTGGTTTTTGAGGGCTCAGACTCGGGTTCTATTGCTGTACTGGTACTTTCCTACGGTACCATGGCCCTGCTGTGCTATTTTGTTTAATGTTGTTTTGTGCCAGTACTGCACGAGTGTACTTATGTACTCATGTACACGGACGGGGAGGTCTGAGCGGGGGGGGAGCACACGGGGATCAAATCTTTATTCAAGGGGTCGGCAAAGGTTTGGCGGGGGGCCGCCCACCAAACACAGAGACAGTGAAGGCCTACATGGTGTACGCTGCTTCATAGGCTTCTTATTTTCTCAGGAACTTCACGGACCTGGACCCACTTTGGTCTGAGCCCCGGTGTGCATTGCGTCTAATCCGGACGTCTTTACACTGGCTCCTGTGAAGTCTCGCATCTGTTTATTTCACTCAGATTCTAGTTGACTTCATCCGTGCAAAGATGGCCACCCCGGGCTCGGAATTGCTTGGCGTATCTTATCGTCATCGCAAGAAGTTTGGAGCGTAGAGCGTCACCAGAGTCTAGAGCTGAGTTGTGGCATGAAGCTGTCACAGTTCCTTCGACAAGTGCGTCCACTTTGTGCTTTTGAATTGGGAATGCGTGGGATCTGCTTCGTCGGCTCGTCCTGTTCCACAATGCATAAGTCCGGTCGTTGTGGCTGGAAATCTTAGCCTGCATAAGTCGCCGGAGTCCAACTCTGTCGTGCACTTTAAATAAGATCCCACGAACCGAACACGAGCTTACTCCTGTTCGCTCGTGTGTGGTACGCTTGAAGCTTGTTGTTGCACTATATGTGGAGACCCATCACCCCAAAGACTGCGCTGCGCTGACTACATACAGAAGTGGATCATAGTGGCAAGGCTTCGCGGGCCAGCACTGCTCTCGCATGCAGACATCCACGAGCTGCCAACTGTAATCTGGAGCCTGACCGACCTGTAACGACCTCGAGCATTCAGCGGCCCGCAGCCATGGGGGTCTGTCAAAGCACCCAAGTCGAGGAGGTCCATGTGCCTTGGGATGCATGTTCCGGACGTGGGCATGGGTTCAATCGCAAGACCGCCGGATCCAGGTAAAGCTGCACTGGTACCGTACTGTACGGCCATGACATGCACCAAATCGAAGACTCAATGTTTTTCTGTGCGAGATGCTCTGTTCTCGGTCAATACGTCCTGCGTTGGCAGCTCAATAGTCTACTACATCCCGCCGCCATGCGGCCGAGGTGATGCTTTCAGAGCTGCAGACGGGGGACGTGCTTCTTAGCAAGGAGCCAATCCTCTCGAGCATCTTGACAGAGAAAGACGTTGTAATTCACGCCTGACATCTTTCGCCTGGAATGGCACTCTGGCCATGCCTTACGACTTACGAACACATCCATGCCTTCTCAACATCTTCGCCTGCAACTGACGTAATGTCGTACGGACTTGCAATGAGCCCAGCAGGCAAGGAGTTCCAGGTTCAGGCTTGCACTTAGGTCCTGGCGCTTGCTTCATGCGTAGCTGCCTTTGTTGGCAGGCACGTCGTTCCCAAGCGGCTTCGGCCTAGCTAAGCATTTTTGTACGGGCTTCGCGTCGTCGGCCTGGTCTCGACATCAGGGCGCAAATAGCAGGGAGTGCACAAGGCGGCAATGGTTGGGGCGGTTGGGGGGTGGTTCGGGGCTTGCGGCTTCTTGAACAAATCAAGTGAGTTCCACCAAGGCCCCTTTGCCGTGGTCAGAACCTCTGGTCGTGGGGGCTTGGAAGCCGAAATCATTGTTTAGGAAGAGGGAGTGTAATAGGAAAGATGCCAACTGGGCCAACTGTCGGAATTCCTGGGTAGGAGCTCAGCATCCACTTGCCTGTTGGACCTTTGCCCTGCAGCTTCCGCATTCTTGCAGGCCCATCACATAGGCCTGGTGGTGAATCCTGCTGACTTTCCTGCAGAATCACACCTCCGGCGTCGCCACCCCGAGATGGAACAAGGCAGCATGTACCCTGGCCTTCATGGAAAGGGGAGCACGGGACGAAGCAAGAGTTCTTTCGCTTCGGAAGGCAAACGACCAAAACGACTGTCTATAGAGATGTGCTTGCTTGGAATGCCACATGCAGACACCTGATTGCCGTGTTTGGAGATCTACGCAGGTACGTTTTCCATGCGCTTGTGACCGGCATGAAAGTCTGGGACCTCGAGCGGTACATTCGTCGGATTCACAACGCATGCGTCTTGCCAGGCTCTCCGTGACTCATGTGGTAAAATTGAAGATCGCGAACGTGTATGGATAACTTCGAAAAGACCGGTTCCCACGATAGTCGAAGCGAACTTGTGTTTTGTGTCACGAGCCAGGTCGTGGCTGGGCTGGCTGGGGAAGCTACAAAGCTACGGTAGGACTTAAGACGAAACACCTGATGGCCTAAGGGCCCCAGCAACAGCCTTGCAGCTTGCTCCATGCTGCTCCATTTCTAGCTAGCGTTTGTGCAGATTTGACTACATCAAAAAGCCGTGAGCTCGCATGGCGTGGAATAAATTTTCTTGAAACCGAAGTGAAACGCCTGGCAGGAGAGGCTTGGGTGCGTCAGCTGCGCGCCAGCACGGAGACTCCCTCGGAGCCGTCCGGCCAATGCTTATTTTGGGGTTTCGACGTCAGTAGCGTGGCCGTACTGTAACAGGGCCAACGCGCGGAGATGCACATGTTGAGCTAAGCTTTCGCCCGCAACTCATCGCGGAACTGGATGCTGCTTTCGAGGAGCCGACCTGGTTTCTCGGTTGGGGGGCGGCGCACGTCGGCAAAGCTGCTCCAGAGCGAAGCCTCCAGATTCTCCAGACTCCAATGTGACCCCCGACGTCAGGAGCTCCACAGCCGGCCATACGAGAAGAACCAGCTATCGACTCTCCACGCCTTCTGCGACTGCGCGGAGGCGACTGGGGGGGGGTGCTACATGAAGCATTCTGTTCGAGTGACAGCTAAACGAGGCTTGGAATCTGGAGCAAGTGGACTCGGGCTGAATTGGATGTCAGGTTCAGGGTTTGGGCTCGTCTTCCATTGTAGACACAAGAGTCAGATCAAGGCCAAAATGAAGATCAACTCCCACAGCAGACCCGTCCGGCCGACGAGGTGTGTGGCCTCTGCCAAGCCAAGCAGGACTGTCCGAAGGCCAAAAGATGGAAGATTCCAGTCCGGGGGTGCCAAAATTACCGCTATTCAGCAAAATATGGGGGGGCGGGGCAGGTTCCTGGAAATTTAGGACTAGCCGGAGTACCATGACCCACTACCACTGGCTCGGGCTGGCCCTTTCCGTAATTGTCGTGCAGTGCAAATTGTGGGCGGCACCAGGGTAGTTCGACATACGCCACGGGCATCCGAAACGAGTTCCTTCGTCCCCACCTGCAAGCTTTGCAAACATCGCGTCGTTAAAGCCTTACTGCATGTAGCTGTTTGCAGAATGCCCGATTCGACCAGTTCGCCATCGCATGTGCACGCACTCGCCAAGTTGTGGTTGCGCTCTGTGCGGCACAGTTTGGTTGCTGCCACCTTCTAGCTCGAAACCGCTGTTGTAGGCATCCCAAATGTAACTGCCACCGGTGCACAGTGTATTCCTGGTGAGGCGATCGCGATGCACAGCCCTCAAAAAAGTTGAAGAGCTGCGCCGCGCCGCATCACGTGCCAATGTCGACAGGGTACCGTTCGTGCGAAGGGTTAAACCAATTAACCTTCGGAAGGACTGCAGAGAAGCAACACACGAAACCATGTATGGATTGGCACGTCTCCATTGCCGGACCCATGATGATGCAATATTTTCCTGTGAGACACAGGTTCTAACCGGTCGGCAGTAGAAGCGGTGGTAGTCACAAGATGTCACAAGTTGGTGATGGTATTGATGATCATAACAGCCACGTCCATTTCTGTTAACGTCATTTCGAGACCATTCTTCTTCTGCACCTGGTATTGCACAGTTTCATGGAACATCATGATAGTACGCCTGCCTTTTGACAGCCCGCAATGTGCTGAAGTGACGGCCCTTCGTTCTGAATTGGCAGACGCGAAGCATGACGGTGACCGCCTGTACAATCTGTGGATTTGCATAGAAACAGTTGAAGTCATAGGCGCTTGTTTTTTTACCTGTTCTGAGTGCCTGCGACTCTGGCATTTTGGCTGCGTCCAACAGAGCACTTGAACAGACTTGTTGCGCGAAGGACACCTCCAGCATATTCTGTTCAGAGCTTGTGGCTGAAGTGCTTCAGCGAGGCTCATTGGGGTGCTGGATTTTGGAGGGTTATAAGTTGTAACGCTCGATTGCTGGCATCCGTCTCCGAACGACTGTGAGTGTCGGGGTCTTTTTCAGTGATTGCTCGACACATATGCTTTGCAGGCAAAGTCCTCTCAACCGACCGGCCTTCATCCGAGCGTGTTGACTGAAGTGGTAACGCGGTTGGGATTCCCCGGTCCTGCTTTAGGGCTTTTGGTGTATGCTTCGGCAGCCATTCCGTCGCCACTGAGCCAGCACCGCTTTCCTGCCGATCCACCGGTAGTATTACTAGTTTCGCAGCAGCGAGGCTGGGTTTGAAGGGCTTCTGCATGAGTATCATCAGCACATCAGCACCCGACATAGAGTCATGAGCTCCGATGAGCTAGAATGCTAGACTCTAGAAGAGGCAAAAGCAGAAGCCCAGGTTTACTCCGATGGACTTCTTGAGGAGCGACGGTCGATCGGTAGAACAGGCCCTGGCGACTCGAAGCTTCGCCTCTTCGGAGGTCTTGGGAGCCCTGGCCCTGGCAGGCGAAGCTGCAGTCTTGCCTGGAGCTGGGCCGGCTGAGGCGGATCGAGGTGACGTAAGGCGACGTGAGCCGGGAAGCTTCTTCCAGGGTGAGTTCATCTTGCCTCTTGCTCCGTGTTTGGAGAGTGTTTAGTAGAAGCCGAAAAGAATTTGCTGTGCAAGGTTGGGAGAGCTTCACTAACTAGGAGTTGCGGCCTCATTGACAGCTCACCAAGAAGAAAAGGCAGGCGACGAGTCCGAAAAGACTGACAAGTCCTGGAAGTGTTGGCTGCAGTGTTTCGTCTTGCAGGCTCTTGCGCCAAGAAAAGAGCTGCTGTCGCAGAGTGTGCACCAGGTGTTAATCTTCAGATCATGCAGCTGCCAGCTATTACTTTATCTCCGGCCATGCTTCTCAGAGGGTGTGCTGAAACCGCAGCTTCCAATTTGCTGTTCAGGAACAAATATTATCCACGCCCAACAACCTCAAGAAGACTTTCTGCATCCCCGACCCCAAGATTCTGAAAGTAACGACTGTGCCAGCCTGCCAGACATGGCCCCAACACATGACGCACGTGGATGTGTTGGGTTGTAGCATTCCAGTCCGTGTCTGCATGAAGCGGAAGCGTGGACATGAAGAGATAGGCGAGCGCAAGGCAGCGTGGTGTTCAAGTCGAGTCGGCACTTTCTGCATGTGGTGCAGAGCATAACTCAGTCAGTATAGTATGCTTCTGCACCATTTAAGGCCTGCAGATCCAAAGCCCTGCACAGATGAAAGCTGCGGTGCGAAATACATGCACAGCCCATGCAGCTGCCAGATTCCGCATCCCTTCTCGCAACCCCGCAGAAGTGATGAAAGCCCCTGTCTAGATGCAGAGACTCCCTAGACATCTACTCGGCTGAGGCTTCAAAGTTTGGAGAGAGTATATAGTTTTCAGAAGCCTGCAGCAGGGGCTCCGCGGCGTGCGCTACTTTGTGCTCGATGCCGACAGACTGAATTGGCAGCGGTGTGTTTTTGTAAGGTTGCTTGCGGTCAAGAAGGGACGTCTGTAATGGACACCAGGAAGCGGACAGAATGCTGGACATGGGCTTCATGCCGCAGGTGAGAGCCACTTGGAGAGAAGACTTTAACAACGAAGTTCACGGATGCTGCACGTTCGGTACAATGACGTGAGCGATCCATGGGATTCGCGAACCGCGGTGCAGTTAATAGTTTGCGACTGTGATCACACGAGCTTGAGAGACCACTTACGAGGACAATATAGGCAATATGGGCACTGTCATTGCCCTAGGTTAATTGCTGCCGGTTGCCCGGTGCCGAAAGGCTTTGTCGGTGCCCTTCCCAGGAGATCCTGCAGCTGTTAGGGCGCGGAAAGAGACAAAGCTTGCTCTTCAGTGCCCCCCGTCCTGGAAGTCACTGTGCCACAGGTTCGGGTGCATATTCGTGTTTCTTCTCTAGACTACGCTCTTCGGGTTCAATCATGGAAGCACATGCTGAGTGGATCTGCCATGCATCCCTCTTGCTGTGCGCATTTTTTGAAGCTTCCTGCCAAACGTTGCAAGAAGTGTGCGGTAGATTCATCTTCAAGATTTGCCCGTCAGCGGTGTCAAGTTCAAGGCCACATGGCCTCCGGCGGTTCATACTTTGGCGAGCACCTTGCCCAAGCAGGAGCTTGTTCCGCGATTCGGTTCGGGAGGCCTGGCCGGCTTTGCCCAAAGCCTTGAGCGGGATCGGTATCAAGCCAAGAGCTGCTGCAGTAGTCTGACGAAGCACTCATCGAGTTCGTATCTGATTAAGGAGAAGTTCTTTCCGAGACGCTTGGCTGCGGGTCTGGATGTTGAGGTGACAGAGGCCGCAGATCGGATTCATGAACGTGGGGTGCAGCTGAGGACGCCCATACGCGTCTCAATAGAAACTTGGCAGGCAATGGAAAGAATCCGGACCCTTCAGAGCTCCGGCTGTGAGGCAGAGAGTCCTCTTTTGTTCGTGGTCGTGGATTTGATGCCGCCAACTGCGGCAACCACTGAGCAAGTTGATGGCCTGGGCATAGATCACATCAACCAATGAAATCTGCTCGAAGCAGAAGAAGGAAACAATATCTGAAGCCGCACTCAGCCCACACTCTCCAGGATCAACACAAGGGCGAGGAGCTGAGTGCCAACGCCTCCGTGGTGCAGCAGGTTGAGGTCGTCCGCCGGGGGCCTCAGGGATATTGTCAGTGACAGCGGAGCCCAGGGCCGCAGGGAGATTTCTTGAGAGATGGCCTCGGTTTCGGTCCCAGCCAAGGGGAGCGCGACAAAGAAACGCGCCTCTTGGAGCAGCTTGGCTTCTTGAAACATGGGTTTGTGCTGAGGCTGTTTGACGATGTTCGAACCAAGTGTAGGGACAGCAAAACCACGCACAAATCGCTTGTTTCGGCCAAGGCTTCTGAAAGATCATGGCAAGGGGAAGACCCTCATCTTCGTAAATACGAAGAAAGGTCGGATGGGCTTGGCAGATGTCACAAGTCGGGGCTGGTTAATGATTGAATCTTTGCATATCATAAGAATCACCTGGGGAATTGGAGGGCATGTATGTGTAAGCGCGGACAGAGTCCAGAGTTTGCTAGAGGCGACTTTGTGATCACGGGTGTAGGATCGCACGAGAGGGGGTAAGCAATGCATGAGCAAAATTGCCCCATAAGTCACGAAAGAAGCATGATTGACCAAACGATCAACACCTGCAGGTTCAGGCAAAGGTCTCAGGATTCGGCTTTGATACTCATCTAATCCAGTTGACTGTGGAGATTAGGCAATTTCATGCTACTTCCTCAGTGAAAGTTGGTGCATGGCTGAGAACTGAACGGGTTTTTCTTTCGAAAGTGTCCGAAGGTTGTGCCGCCTTAGCGGCAAAGCTCCGCATGGCCGGCATCGCTTCTCGGCTCAGGGCCTCCAACATCTAGCATCTCCCTTACAGTAGCAGCTGGCACCGGCCATGATTCTGAGGTGCCTTGTGCCGAGATCCACGGCAACCTGACACAGGCCTTACAAATTGGTTTGCCGGCGGAAGGTTTTGTGTGCCGGAGTGGACAGGCGTGCATGAAATTTGTGTAAGCATCGGGCTTTTCCTACTGCGTTGCCGCTGCCCTGTGCGCGTGCGTATGCTGATGACTCTGTGGATGCATAGGCTGGAAGAGGGAGACGGGGAGAGAGAGATACGTTTATGCATACATACATACATATATATATATATATATATATTATATATATATACATACATATTTGTATATAGACGCTACCTACATGCACATGCATGCAGTTTTTCACGCCGAGCAGCCTCAAAGGATGCATACTTCAACAGAGGCCCCGAAAATGGGCCGGTGGGGTTGGGCCCTGTCCCCAAGCCCTGCTGGTGGAAGGAGGATTAGTTGAGGTTGTTGGCGAGGCAGGCATCCATTCTTCAGCTCACGGAGCTTGAGAATTGTGCCACCGAAGAGCTTCTTCTACTAAGTTCTACTAGTACCTAGTATTTGCTGGAACCAAGCTATTGCTGTTTCAAAAAGACATCGAAGGCCTCCTGGGTTTACCTTCATTTTGCTTTTGTGGGCTGCTTTTTGCATCCTCTCCGCACTAAACTCTCAGGATCAATAGTAGTAATTGTAGTAGCTTGAAGCAGCGACGCAAGCTTAGAAGCAGGGGGCCCTGATCTACCATGCTGCTTGTTTCGCTCAATGTGATATTGCTTGCCCATATTGTAACTTGTGCAGGCTGAGCGTGCCGCTGCTTTAGCTGCACCTTGGCAGATTATGTGATGTGATTAGGTGCTAGCAGTGGGCTGGAGGAGAAACCCTAGAGCACAGCAACGTCCATACGATCAGCAGAGCTCCAGGAGTTCTCTACAGGAACTTCGCGGACGCTTGTGGCCACAGACGTGGCCGCCAGAGGCCTTCGCCCCAGTGAAAGTCGCATCAGGGTCGACTCTGCGGCCGGTGATATGCTATGAAGCTTGGTCGTCCCTCCTTGAGGTCTAGATGTCGAAGACATTACGCTTGTGGTTTGCCACTTGTCGGCATCGGCCGTCAGACTGTTCCTCGGTTTTACGAGCTGCTTTAATCGCGAAGCAGTGCTGCTATTGTGTGCAGCAATTCCGGTATGGACTTGTCCGTGGACATGGCCGTGCTTGTGCGCACCAGCTTCACTGAGCAGGTTTTGATTTTCCGGATTCCATGACGGGAATCTTGGCCGAGTTAATTAATGACGCCACATGAACAGCGATTCTTGATCGCAGAAGAAGCTTGTCATGCATTTTGACTCCTTCAAGCAGGCATGGTCACTCAGCACTTCACGGCGCGCACGCACGCACGCACGCACGCACGCACGCACACGCACACACACACACACACACATACCCAGTCTGAGCTGGTTGTCTCGAATCGTCATCTTTCTCTTCACGCTTCGAATTGTGCACTCTTTCTGTATCGCTTCGACAAAAGTGGTCTTCAGAGCTTCAAGATTATTGGAATGTCTTCCGATGCTCTACAACTTCTTCTACCAGCCAACTACATAGGACGAAGTACTCACAAAACAGGTAGAACAGAAGGTAGAAGTGGGTGACGCAAGTCTGTATGTAGTCTCAAGACTACATGCTCACACAGATGTCTTCTTTTTGGACATCCCTGCAGGTACGTCAGTCCAGCGTCCCAGACTGATTTCAGTGCCTAGTCAGAGCCTCTTCGTTGGGCAATCACTCTGACTGGGCAGATTGCCCCCCTGCATTCAACATTACTCGCTATCTCCGATGGTCTTCAAAGATGAAAAGTCTTCAGAAAGTCTCTTCCTTAGAAACAGGAATTCCACACACACCTACCCGGTCTGTGCCGGTTGACTAAGAAATCGAAGAGTAGTACTATGGTACACCTGATTTTGATTTTGATGCAGGGCGCAAGTAGCAATCTACGTATGGAGGAGTTCTAGCGCTGTTACCCGTTGCTTCAGATTGTTGATTTCGTTGGTGGTCGTCTCGATGAACTGTGCAAGCATCTCTCGGAAGTTACTGTCGAGAGTCATCGAAGATGCTGGTGAGTCGGTGCCCGATTGTTCCAAA